GCTGCGTCCAGCGATAGAGTGCCCCACCACCCATGGAAGTGCTGGCCCCTCTGCGTGGCCCGGGACTTCGGCCGTGGCTTCGCTTCAAGAGGGTATTTTTCCTAAACGAAACCGCTTCATTCGTTCGTTCGTTCGTTCGGGCAGCAATGCCGCAGAAAAGCAGCAGACGTCGGTCCGCGCCCTGGCTCTCTTCGCCCCGGACCCAGACGTCCCGTCGCAGCGCTCGGAGGTGCCCCCAGCCCATGGCGGCCTGCCCTCGCCAGCACAGGTCGGGCTTTTTCTTCCCAGGAGAGAAACCCCAAATTTCCTTCGTAACGTCCAATAAAGACATTCCCGCGGCTTCTCCCGGGTTTGGTTGTTGACGCAGGGTCCCAGAGCACTGCAGCCGCTTCTCAAGAACCGGGTCTCGGATTTCTGAAATTGACCAGCTTCGTAAATTGGAGCCTATTCTCCCGCAGCAAAGGGCCCCAAAGCTGGTATCGCAGTAATGGGAACCCCAGGCTGGAATCCGGGTCCCAAACTTTTCCGATTTAGGAATTCCCTGAATCTACAAATATTTAGTTCACTTTTCTGAAAAACTAAGGCTTGTGTATTCTCTTGATATCCCTGTGACCTCTGAAAGCCACCAGGGTCAGAGGGAGGAAATCCCAGGTTGCTGTCCACTAGGGGAGGATTCAGGTCTAGGGTTCAGGTCTAGGGTAGTCAGGGCAAAAGCTACAGGCAGCAGGGGCAGCACAGAAGACCTGCTGTCCCCGTACTCTTTCTTGGGGCTGCTTTGGGCCTCCCGCCTCTCTTCCAGGGAAAGGAAAAGAGGTGGGCTGGGGCGTGGAGACCAGGCTGTCTGGACTCTAGGATGCAGAGGCCTCCAGACAGGCTCAGGGCGCTCTTCTCCCATGAAAGCAACCGCTGGGAAGAGGAGGCTATGGTGCATCCATAAGTTGCCCCTGCTCCCCAGTTGTGCGACCAGCTGCTACGTCCTTCCTAGTCTTCTTCCCCCCAGCTCAGCCATTCTCAGGAACCAGACAGCATCCATGGACTTAGGTGAGAGATGGGCTGGGGAGAGCCATGGGTCCTACCAGCCACTGACTGAGGGGCCCACAGCACAGAGTCCTGAGTTCCATACTCCCATCTGTGCTTCACTGGCGGCAGTCCTGCCCAAATACATCCTGGCTGTCCCCAGGACAGGCTGGGGATCCCCAATTGGCAGGAAGCCTCAGACTGGGGTCCCAGGAAGCCTAAAGGAGCCAGTGAGGTCTTTCCAGCCCCTACCTGAGCACCCTCCTCCCCACTTACCCAGTAATTGCTGTATTCAAAGAAACAGGAGCTTTTATTGGGGAGGGGGTATTAGATCAGGCAGAAAGAGGTAGGTGGTCCAAACCTGCACTCCCAAAACTGGGTTTTCAAGTTTGAACTTCTCCACAGACTAAGAGGCTTAGGGCTGGAATGTCCCAGAGAGTCATGGATAGCCCTGGTGGCAGGTCATGGCACATTCCTTCCTTTTTCCTAAAATACCTTGATTCTGGGAGCAAGGATTAGAGCAGGGTGCCCCCATGGGTGGGTAGAAGGATGGCCCCCACCCATAAAAGCCTTCCAACCACCCTGCCCAAATTACATCACTAAACCATTCTTGGGCACAGGCTGTTTTTAGTGAGCTAGGCTTCAGGAAGGGTCCTCGTGGTGACTACTTCAACCCCACAACAGCCCAGGTTCTTCTGCTCAGCCCAGCCAGGACCCTAAACTCCAAAATTCTTGAACATCACAGAATCATTGCTGGCTTTGTGTGGTCAGGGAGGGGTGGGGAACAGGGCACATGGTTCCAGCTCCACTAAGCCCCCTTCCCTCCTCTCTTCCTGTCCCATCAGCAAGTGAGCTGGACACTGAAGCAGCAGGCAGAGTCCGGTGTTGGACGTGGGAACTGAGGCTCAAGGCAGATCAAGTCTTTACCTTGAGGCAAACACAGGTCACCCAGCGCAGCTGGGGGAACACAGAGCCTCTGCTTACTCCTGAAGGAGTGCTGTTTTCTGTCCTGTGTGTGTGACAGGTCCATGAGTGTGCAAGAAGCCCCTATCTTGACTGGGACAATGACCAGTGAGAGAGAGTAGCTGGGGAAGAACAGAGAGCGTGTCCAGGTCCCTTCCCCAGCCAATGCCCAAGATCAGGCCACAGCCTCCTCACAATCAATTGCCTCCTCACTCCTTGATCACTCCGTGCTGCCCAGGCCCAACAGAACAGACTCTGCCAGCAGGCCCCACTAGCCCCAGCCCCTCTTTGGGTCTCAGGTCCCCTGAGGATACGGGGCTTCACCTGAAACAGTCTGAGGGCTTTTCCATCTACACAGCAGGCATCAAGATCACCAAATAAAGGGACTATTGTGCCTGCCTGGAGCCCTGCCAGAAGTTTGGGCCCAGAGGGGCACACAGCAGGTGCTCAATAACTGCATTAAATGCACTAACAGTGAGGATACAGCCCCTCAGACTAAGCAGTGAGTGCTGCTCACAAAACAGTCCCCATTGGGGGATGGCCCAAAGAGTCACTTTGGTCCCTCTGGGAAGTGAGGGGGCTATGAGTCCCAACCTCCTCTGGATGTCCACAGACAGATCATTCATTTCTAAGTCTCTGCCCAGAGACGCACGGTGCTTCCCACCTTGGCCTGACATGTGGCGGGGTTAGAACACACCTCCTATCCCATGCCAGCCGGTGTTCATGCCAAGTAGCACACATATGCCTAAACTCAGCGCTTCCATAGTGCAGTGAGTACATGTGTGTGCACAGCATCTCCGCATGGATATATAGGATGTGCGTGTGCGCGCGTGCCCCCATGCTGTCTGCACTCAGGCTGTTCTATGGGATAAGACAGCTAAAAGGAGAATGGTGTGTGAAGGGACACTCCCCAGCATGCTGCAGCACCTGAATATCTCCTTGAAAGGAGGGATCTTCTACTGGAGACTCCAAGAAACGTGGTAAAGGTGGGGCTGAGGACAAATGCTGGGCAACTGTGCTTCCCCATGTTCCTCTGCCCATGACCAAGACTCATTTCATGGAGGGAGATCTCAGCTTGGAAGAAGGCAGAAGTCACTGAGCCTCCCCAACCCAAACTCCTGGGAAGTGTCATCCCTCTGGCCTCAGACCCTGCATTCTATGGTCACAGACGCACAGTGAGAAAGGGCCAGGCCCTAAGGAGCTGTGCTGTCTCTCCATGGCCCAGAGTGGGGGATGGGGGCAGGGGTGCTTTGGACTAACATGGAGGGAATGGAAGGCAGGCCTGGTTCCAGCCTGTGTGCCTGCCCCTGGCCCAACAGCCCTCACAAGGAGCTCAGCTGACCGTGGGTGTCTCCCTGTGATTGGAAGGGGTAAGGCGAGGACTCAAAGGCAGAACCTGCAGAGTGCCCCAGACGCCGACACCTGCGCAGTCAGTGCCACCCACCCAGGAGTTGAGGAGGCACTGGGTTTTGGGGTGAGGACACTGGACACCTCCCTGCTTCTTTCCCAGACCGACAATCTCCCTGGCGCTGCTCCCTTGGGTTACTGTGTCTGGTGGAGCTGGTCACAGGTGAGGGGCAGAGGGCAGTCTGGGGTCCGCCTATGGCCAGAGAAGCAGGTCAGGGCAGTGCCTTGCCGCCCCAGCTGTGGCCTGTTTGCTCAAGACGCTGAGGTCTTGGGGCCAGCTAACAATTGTTGAGCAAAATCCTTCGACAAACTTCACCTACGTGCAAGGACTTGAGGAGGGAATCACTCTTGGGAGTGGGAGAGTAATGTCTTTGCCTGTGCCCAGTGAAGGCCCATTGAAGCTGCAACTCAGCTACCACTGTGTGGGAGAGAAGCTGGAAGACTGAGGGCTTCCTGGGCTGCTGGCCCAGGGTTGGGAGACAGCAGTCACCTGGCCTACCAGGCCTGTGTCTGAAGCCCTGGGAAGCCACGATGCAGGCCCCAGGCTGGGACAAAGCTACCCTGAAGGAGGGCAAAGGCTGCCAAGGCCAACCCCATGCCTGCCAAGGCCAGGCCTGGCCCATTTGGCCAAAGCGTAAGGTGTAAAACAAGGGGAGAGGTAGAAGAGGCTGTGGGGCCTGGCTGGGATTCTGGGGTCTTCCCTCTGCATTCTCCAAACGCCTAGAGCCAGCAGAAACGTTTCGTCTGATTAGAAGCCATCATTTCTATCCCAATCCCGGAAAATTGACTGCGGTGCAGAGAGGGAGGCCTGAGAAGCAGCCTTAGGGGAGAAGGTCCAAGCTAATTAGGAGGCAGCATCCGGGGGCCCATTAGAGCGCAGGCTGCTGTCACTCAGCCGGGCTGAGTTCCCGGGAGAAGAGGCTGGAGAAGGAGGGGCAGGCGGCCCCTCGACGAGGACACCGCTGGGAGCTGCCGGAACGGGCCCCGGGCTCTGCCCCCGCCCCGGTGCTGGCTCGAAGGCGCCCGCTCCGTGCGATCCTGCTCGGCAAACATTCACTCATCCTGGGCTGTTCTCGCCAGCGCTGGGGACTTCGAGGCGGCCGAGACGGGAGTTGATTCTAGGCGAAACAAGTCATTTGGGGCCTGAGGTGGGCACGAGCCGCCCGGGACTTGCAGGCCAGATGCGTTTCTTTTGTGAGGCCGAGGGAGAACTCGGTGTGTCACCGGGGAAGGAGGGAGAGGCGCGGCGAGGCCGCGGGGGGCGGGGAGGC